GATGATGATGATGGATGTGGTGGTTTTTGTTGGGTTAACGGGTGGGCTGGTTGTGGTGGGTGTTGGGCAAGGGGGTTATCCAGTAGGGTCTTTGGTGTTGTGGTAACGGGTGAACTGGCTGTGGTGGCTGTAGTTGCTGCTGCTGCTGTTGCTGCTGCTGCTGCTGATGATGATGATGATGATGATGATGATGATGATGATGATAATGGTGGTGGTGGTTGTGGTGGTTTAGGGCATTGTTTTAGATTCACATCATGACTCAAATATATTCAAATCTAATGTATATATGATATTTCTTCCGTACCACAACGTTGATGATGGTGATGGTGGTGCGGTGGTGGTGTTGGCAGTGGTTGTGGATTAGGCCATTGTTTTACATACACATCATGTCTGAAATAATATATTCAAATCTCCATTATATATCATATCTGCCGTACAACAATGACGACGACGACGACAACGATGATGATAATGTACATCATTACTAACGTTTCTTCCTCCCCCCCCCCCCCCAAACAGGTGGACACTCCACGGACACATCAGGCGGTCACCGGGGCAGCACGCGCCAACCCACGTGCACCGGACCAGACTGCGATCGCGACTCCACGCGGGGCTCAGGGGGCAAGGGGGGCTCAGGAGGGGGCTCAGGGGGCAGCGGGGGCAAGGGCAAGGGCACAGGTCCCAAGGATGGGGCTCCAACCCTCGGTCTGTCTGTTGCGCTGTGGGCGGTGTGTGTGACGATGGCGGGGGTACTGAGGAGGGCTGGTCTGTGTTAGTGTCACAGTGTGCGTGTGTTTGTTTGTATTGTGCATGGAAGAGAGAGAGCGAGAGAGAGAGAGAGAGAGAGAGAGAGAGAGAGACTAACATACAGAGAAAGAGAGACGGAGAGAGACAGAGAGAGGAAGAGAGATGTAGAAGATTTTGGGTGAGAAAGGAAAGATAAACTTGTCCAGTAAAAGAGGAGAATACTCACGAATGAGTGCTTGTGCGCGCATTTGTGTGATTTTGTAGTTCTTCCGTTTGTTCTTGTGAATGTCTCTATCTCACATTAACGATACTGTCTAAACACACCAATATAATTATGTGTAATATACATGATAGAATACCAAATACACAAAATGGCATCAATACAGACAATTTGACAGACTTGCCCTTGCTGTTCGCCACTGTGCAGCGCCCTGGGTTTTTGTTTTTGTTTTTGTTTTTTGGTTTGGTTGGGGGGGGTTTAAAGTAAGGGTTACCGTGTCTTGCTCAAGGATACGCCTAGTGACCACACATCTGAACCCCGTTTATAAGGTCTATGGGCTGGGGTATGTGTGTGTGTTGGGGGAGGGGGGGTAGAGAAGAGTACTAGCGTTTTGTTTTGTCTTTTTTTTTTTTGTCAACAACACGCCCCACGCACGACGCTTCAACTTTTAGCCATTATGTGTACGAGAACCCAGGTAATGGCAGCTCTTGAACATACACATACTCAGACACACGCCCGCATACAGACAAGTCGTGTACACTATTTGACCCGCACACATTGATTAATCCGCCCGCATACTAAACACGGGCGCACAGATATAGTCTACACGCACATAGGTACACGTGCGCGCGCACATCCGCAAGCCATCGAGGATGGAGGCAGAAATACAAACATGGTTGGCTGGGAGAAATTGAAGCTAATTAAACTGTTGTGAAATGAAGAGAGTCGGACAAGAGGAAGGGGAGGGGATGGCGGCCTACCTTGTTGATAGATTGAAAGATATTTTTTTAAATTTTCTTGTAATTTTTTTTTTTAGTCGTACGAGGAAATTATTTTGATGAGATGGAATTCCAGTCAAAGCGAGGGGGCGGTGGGTGGGGGGGGGATGAAAAGGCTGGGTGATTGAAGGGGATAAGAAACCTATGTTTGTGGACAGATGGCTCTAGAACTCTATTGCAAGCACATACATACCTGGTACAAGGGGTGGGAGGATGGGGGTTCCTACAGGGTTTAGTGCCTTGTGTGTTTAGGTGTGTGCTAAAGAGAGAGAGGGAGAATTAATAATGACAAATTGTAAAGAGAAGATCTCTGTTTTTAGATCAGATTTTTTTTTATTTGAATGAGTTCGGACTGTATAAAGATAAGAGCACTGATTCATTGTATAATGAGATTTTATAATACACTTGAATTGTACCATAGTACAGATATATGTTTAGCAGCATTGTGTTTATCTCCCCCCCCCCCTTCTCTCTCTCTCTCTTCCTCGCCCTCTCTCCCTCGCCCTCTCTCTCTCTCTCTCTCTCTCTCTCTCTCTCTCTCTCTCTCTCTCTCTCTCTCTCTCTCTCTCTCTCTTTCTGTGTGTGTGTGTGTGTGTGTGTTTTGTCTAGTCTCTCTTAAAGAGGAATGCTGGAGCAAAGTGCTGCTAGTTTCTACCTGTTTCTGAGAAAGAGAATTGTTTGGACTCGCTTGCTTTATGGTCGAGTGTTTAGTATTCGGAAAGAGGGAGAAAAGCAACAAGAGTAAGAGAAGAAAGGGAGTGTCAGAAAACACGTGAGAGTAAGCAAAAGAGAGAGAGAGAGAGAGAGAGAGAGAGCAACAACAAGAAAGAGTGAGTGAGCCAGTCGTGTTTGTTTCTCATGTATAAATATAGAAATATGGCTTGCGTTTGTTCTGCTTGGAAGTGGAAGATGGTGCAAATGTTGTTCAGCTAGTATTGTCAAGACTTGAGGAAGACAATAATGAGTGAAGTGTTTGCCAACT